CGCCGCCCGGCGGAGGCTTCGCGTCGTGCGTATTTTTGTGCGCCTGCGATTCTGGAGGAGGCGTGGGAGGGATGCTTGTTCTGGGCTGAGGATTCTTTCATTGCAGCTCTGTCCGGCATGCCAGCAGTGGCGATCAGTGCGGATGGCCGGCGCACCGGAGGTGATGATGTGAGGAGAGGCTGAGCTGCTCCTGCTCAACGAGCATTCGCTTCGGAATGGAGCGCGATCGTCGGGAGTGGCAGTGTGATCCGAGTGCGCGCATGCAGAACACGCTGAGAATGGCTGTGGCGCAGGAAGTGAATGCAGCTGTCCCGATTAACCGGTGAGTGGATTGGCCGAGGCTCCGCCGTCTCATGCTAACATGTGCAGTGATTTGTGGGGTCAGTTGGTCCCTGTTATCGAGCAGTACTTGTAACCTTTCGATGAAGCGTTGGCTAGCACAGAAATCAGCATTTTTTCCGAGAAGTAAACCACTGAGACACTCATTTTGGATGGCTGATCTGAATGAACCGAGAACTGGCCCGTTCGAGTGAACGCTCCTTGAAACCGCATGAAAATGCGGAGAACTTGTTTCAAATGAGCACAGAACCATCCCGCCTTACTCTGGGGGTGGAGGAGGAAGGAGGAGGGGAGGGAGAGAGGGGTGGGACCTCGGCCGTAGAACGACTTGTGCTTACTAGAAGGAGTCTTTTGGAGCTATCAAGCGTGATTTGTTCCAGTAAAGAATGGCCTAACTGGCATATTATCCGGCCGTTATTGTTTCGTCCCGGTGTGGCGAGGTGCACCAGTCACACTGTCCTGTCTGGCCGAAATTGAATTAAAATGTGATTGTTGAACTGCTTGCAGCTATTACCGAAGTCTGAACGAGATGTATCGTGTTGCGGGCTTTTGCGTGGAAGACAAGGATTATGAGCGGGCCTTCATATACTACATGCGCTTCGTGAGGTTTGCTGGCTTTCTGGGCGTGCTCCCTCAACTGGCTGCTCTGGCTGGGCTCCCTTGAAGCATTGGTGCATTGCAGCTTAGCAGTGGAGGAGCTGCCGAAGCACAAGCAGTATGACGGCTTCTCGTCGGTTGAGAAGAACAAGGCGGAGGCGTCGTTGCGAGATGCTGTTCTGAAGGCGGAGGCATTAAAGGAGCGCCTGAAAAAGAAATACGAAGAGGAAGCTGTTATTTGGGCTAAAAGAGCTGAAGCTGCTGCTGCTGCTGCTGCTGCACTGGTATTATTCGTTTTATAGTTTTGCTAGCTGGTGCCATCCCGAACTTTTCCTATAAATTTCTTCCAGCCCTATGAAATACTCTTTTATGCTAGCGTGCGGAGGAGTAGGAGGGAGGAGAGGCGAAAGAGGAAACAGGGACTCTCCGTCTTCCCCTCAACGAGCGTTGCGCGAATTACCTTTAATTTCAAGAAATTATTTCCATTTGTTATAATGCATCTTTTTTAACATTTCCGTGATATAAGTGAGAGCCGTGCGGGGCTGTAACATAGGCATGCTTGACCTATGGGTGCATTTTAGCTAGTAACACTGAAACTCAATCGCACCGACATTTCGGTGATCTCGATATGTTATTAATACGCCAACTAGTAAAACAAAAATTTTCCCAGGAGAAACTACAAGTGCTTTTCATGCGTTTTGTGCTGTGTAACAGCAGTACGAAACACATATTGTCACGGGATTGTCTGTGTTTGTGTGTGAGTGTGTGTGTCTGTGTCCCGCACTTTCAACTCGGGAAACACAAAAGTTAGGCAGCTGAAATTTTATTATAGTGTTCCCCACCAACGAGTGATGCGGCAAATTTAGATTCAGCCTTCCTGTATTCGCGGGTAACACGTACGGCCCCGTAAAAGCTTTTCGGGTAAAGTTAGTATCTCGGGAACCACGGAAGCTAGAAGGCTGAAATTTTGTGGGCGTATCCCCCACCCATGTGCTACCTAGAAAATTTAAATTCAGCTTTCCCCTGCCCGCGTGAAAATTTTTGGCGAGTAAATTATTGTCTCGAGAATCACGGAGTCTGGGAAGCTGAAATTTTGGGGTTGTGATCCCCTGCCCACGAACGATTTTGCAAATTCAAAATCAGCGTTCCCGCGGTCTTGAGTATCATCTACGTGCCAGTGAAAATTTTTGCGGGTAAATTATTGTCTCGAGAGCCACAAAATCTACGAAGCTGAAATTTTAGGGTAATGACCCTTCGCCCACGCACGATCTTACATATTCAGATTCAGCGTTCCCGCGCTTTCGGGTATCACTTACGGCCTCGTGAAAATTTTACGGGTAAACTATTATCTCGGGAATCACGGAAGGATATTCATTCTTCAGGATCTCATTCAGCTTTTTTGCTCCAGTGTGTGAAATTTTTAACTATTTTTTAACGTTTCAACTATTTTTGCACAGACCAAAGTGCAAAACAGTGAAAATCATTAATAGGCAATCGTTCGGTGAGCGGAATTGCACAATACGCATGATCGCACCGACTAGTCTGGTGCGCGTTGCTGTTTTTTTTCTTTGAATTAAACTCTTCTTGCTTTATTTTTAATTAAAAAAAAAATTCCTGCTTTCTGGAACACACATTTTCTGTCGAAGTTTTTGCAGAACGAAAGTTCAAG